CATGAGAATAGCACTCGACCAAAACATATCGTTTAAAAGTCTTTCTGATCACTTAGACCGGTGCTCGAAATTCGCAAAGCACTACCAGATGTAGCCAAACCCCCTGATTTCGTGAACGGTAATTCGTTCACTTTCATCCACTTTCGAGACCTGTACTCCTGGATGGCAGTCATTATATATTCACGTACGAGAAGAATGAAGTATTAATTATCCACCTCATTTCGGTTCGGACTGATCTGCGAAAGAGCAGACAACTAATTTGCGGACTCGAAAAGACTGCTGTTCAGATATCAAACGCATGACAAACAACAAGGCCTACAGTTTCCAGATGAATGAAACAACACAAATTAATTTGTACGAGTCATTGTCTCGCTGGTGGTGGTGTTCGGCCTTCTGTAACAAGTGGAAGGCTAAAACGAAAGGTATTCCGATATCTCAGGAGGAATCGATATGCAATCTTAACATCTCTAATACCGAAGTTTGCCCCTACCAGTTGTGAATGGGTATTCTAATGAGTATTGAACAGCTATGGTCCGAATGCACGATAGCCTGTAAATATTCCCCAACTGCCATAGACAGGTGCACCTGGCTGTGGTGGTGGCCCAGTGATTTAGTCGCTGTCCCCAGTGTGCTTTAAACCGTATGACCCAAGGTTTGAACCCCGCCACCACCACCCAACTTTGATGGTGGGCAGCTTTGCTATCGTTCGGTTCACTATCACGCCGATCCTAGTGCGGCCTTATGCGGTTCGCCACTCCAAGTCCCGGGGCTTCGGTTGCCGGTTTCGACCACTGAGCAGCAGGTCCTCGTGACTAGGGGGTTCACTCCGTCTACTGTTCATCACAGAGAATGTGTAACAAAAAATAATAATAATATCAGTGTTCATGTAGTAAAAATACTGGGGTAATATTGTGCGGAGCGCTAAAGCAAGAATTCAGTGACGGATGAGTGTGTACATTGAAAGGACAGAGGTACAAATATAGAATGAGTGCATTGACATTGGACAGTAGCAGGAGTTCAATTACGATGCTGGATGCCATTTGTTTTGATGAGAAGAGTGAGCTGGTTTTCGCTGACTGAACCATGACTGATTTGAGCAATTGAAGCCACTACTAGAACAAGAACCAAACGCAGTCCTTTGTCCTTTGTATGTATTAAGTTTGGCAGCGATCATTGAAGTTCGCTTCATTGTATTACGCTATACAATGATGGTGATGATGATGAATGAGACAACAACGTCCCAGCACATCAATGCCAAAACCTCAGGTGTGCTTACTGTACAATGACATGCGCTGCATACCTCATCCTGTTAGACCGCAAGATCCTAATCCTACTGAACACTTAGGGAAACACTTCAAAACCTGCAGAACGTTTATTTTTTATTTCTCTTCCTTTTGTCGAATACACAATAATACAATTTTCAGGAAGGGGGAAGCGGCCAATCAAAGGGCTGCAATGGGGAAAGTCAGGCGGTGGTGGTGGGGTTCGAACACACGTCCCCTGAGGTGGTAATTTGGTGACGTTGCCACCAGGCCACCACCGCCCTGTGTTTGCAAGTGGTCGGTAAAAACTTCCAAAGAAAACACATCAATCTTTGTCATCATCGTCATACATCGGGAGACAGTAAAGCGAACATCGCTGATTGCTGCTCAGCTGAACGTACATAAAATAAGTGAGAAAGTACAAGACGGATGGGATTTGGGCCATATTGGAAGTAGACTGTGAACTCCTGTGGTCAACACAGTACACAACCTAACTGTACATAAATACCTTTCCAAGCATTCTGACCTGATAAGAACGCCACTGCTGACGGTCAGTTGTCACATCTATCTTTGTCGACAGTATGCAACGCTTTTGCTAACAAAGGCTCCACTAGACAACGATAGCTCCTGTTCAATAAACATCTATTTCCGTAAATCACACGTTGACTAGGGGGTCTGGAAACATTTGGTTCGCCTTATTTAACCCAACTACGCACTACGCCCGTTTCGATCGGATCCTTTGAAGGATTGTGATTTTCACAACTAGCACGCACTAACCGACCGATTTTTGTTTGGTCGAAAATGCCCCCTAGTCACTGATTTGGAGATCGAAATTCAACCTCAACACCCCAGTGATAGCAATGCCGATGAACCGATCGCCATCGGACGTGGCGATGTTCGCGCAACGTTCTCACGCCACATCAGGCCGACGAGAAACCAGATAGCCAGCACGTACGCACCTTAGTCACGTGTGACCTTGAAACACGGCGAAGTGGTGGCAACCAATCAGCACTGTGTATAAGCAAGGGGTAGGTAGTCGAGTTGGAAAAACTGTGATGTGACTGGTGCGGTCGTGCTACCTTGCCAACCGGATAGGGGGCTGAACCCGCAGCATGGATGTTGCATGGACATCAAAATATGTGCGTAGGGTCGGACTGACTATGCGGGTTGTGTAGGAAATGAAATTGCCAGGGCCAAACTTTCGCAAGCAATGTTGGGCATAAACGTATTTGCAACGGTGACCATGAGTGAGATGATCGGCTATTTTCAACATAAAGTTTCCGAATCATTTTACAGTATCATCATTTTCACACTAGTTTTGTAATGATGCCGGTTATTTGCATATCAGTTTTTGCAATGGACTGATTAATCCATACATGCGGGCTGATCACAGGTCTTCCCCGAAGCGCTTGCGGAAGACAGCTGCGTCACACGTTAACCAGATCATGGCTTCATGCGTTATTTTGTGACCTACCCCGGGGAACATAATAATAGTAGGGTCAGTGTGGTTCGACATGGTCAATCAGTCGAACGCAGTGGAGGTGTATGAAGCCGTTTACCCATTATTTCATATATTTCGTTTCGACCCTCTCCAGTCCCTTGAATTGGTCCAGATCCCTAAAATGAGCACGGATACAGTGTACAACCATTAACCATGCACTTTCGTACGCCGGTTTTGGTTGCATATTTGGATAAAACAGCAAAATGATGGTTAGTGTTGACAGCGGATTCAAGCGGAAGATAGCGCATTTACATAGACTGAATAATGAGTAGATACACGAGCGCAACCCAGTCATATCGCTCAGTGTTAGGTACTTAAGTGCCCACTGAAATATATGTACAACGCTTACAATACAATACAACAAAAGCTCAAAAAGTATTTTACAAACGGGGTATATATAGTTGCATCTGGAGGATAGCGATCAAGGGACACAGGTAAGCAATATTTGAATGCGAGAAGTATAATTCCCACGGAATAAAGCAAACTTTAGCATTCGTAAAAGGACATAGGTTCATACGCAACACAACATAAGCTGCTTTCGGGGCACTGCCCAAGACTGGTGGCAGCGTACTGCTAGAAATGATGAGATCAGCTATTGTTTTCAGTTTCAGTTTTTACAACCACTGACCATGCACTTTCGTGCATCGGTTTTGGTTGCTGCCTTTTGGTCGACCATTTGGATAAAAGAGCAGAATGATGATTGGAATGTTAAGAGCAAACTCAATGGAAAGATGTAGAATTCATAACGAATGCGGTTACAAGAATATTGAGAATATGCACGAGCGCCTGTGTTTATGACACTCAGTCTCTAACGACCGATCAATATAATCTCGGGGTCCCCACCGAGGGAGCCTAACGCGACCTGTGACCTGGTGTCCTGGTTAGGGTTTTCATGCTCTCATGCCAGGTCTTAAATTTGCCCGTCCTCGACCTTCTCCCACCCGCTACCTGCCTCGGAAAGCATCGCTCGCTGTGGCAACCTATTTGATGACATGCGCAATATCTGACCCAACCAGCGTAATCTATGGAGGTCGACCACTTACTCCAGCGGACGACCGCTGAATTGCCTAAAACTCGTCAACTGGAAGACTAACGTTGAGCCTCCATCCCCCTAACCGAATTGATTGCACTATATGGCTTGGGAAACCGGACAAGCAATGCTGAGGTTAGGCGCCGAGTTTTAGGTAATCGCGGCCATTACAGTAAATGGTCGATCTCATTAAACTACATTGTTTGGGACGTGTTGCACATGCCAGCAAATCGATGGCCCCGATGCCGAGGTAGGCAGTAGATGGAAAATGGTCAAGGGCGGTGAAACTAAAACCTGGCATGAGGGTATGAAAACCCTAACCAAGAGACTCGTGTACACCAAGCGTGAAGTAAACAGAAGGGTTATTTAGACTAAGTGTCTCTCGCCATCCAGAATGGGTCCCAAAAAACACTGAAGGGCATGGCAGCAAATCAGCGCCGGGAGGGTTCTTGCTGTCACTTATTATCAGACCAGAATGCTTGAACACGGCTGGATCACATATTCCGTGTTAACCTTCACCTTCCCTTCCATCAAAACAGGATTACTCCTCAACCTTTTTAAGCATTCGCACTTTGTATATCTTAAGTTTGATGGCGATCGATGCAGTTGGATTCACTGTATTCTGCTGTACGATGATGATGACGGTTGATCCATCATTGTACTAGATAGGTCTTTGTAGGTTCTCTGCTGTCTTCAGTGTTGGAAGTTATAGTGCCAGATACCGTCACTAAACAAATCATGTAGAATCAAAAGATACATCGAAGGTAAAACAATATCGCAAAGGTTATGGAAGAATTCGAAAAATAACCAATTTCCTGAGAAGCTATGAATTCTGGTGTTTGCATCGTCTGAAGCTGTTATCTAATCGTATGGCGTTCACAACCAGTCGGTCAGGTCTAGTAACCCCGATCTTAAGATTGAATACTGCTTGATGTTACGTTGCACCTATTTAAACGACCAATTGCACCCGGACCGACAACAACAATTCTGAGTAACATTATGTGATGCGGTAAAATTTTCGCTCACTATATTGGACACAACAGTTTATATTACGGCTCTGAAAACCGCTTGACAGCTCAGTTGAATAGAACAGCTCCTTTCTACATCCACAAACACAGGTTACATTCTCATTTCGAAACTTAGGAACGGATCAAAATACAAAAAAAGCAAGATAGAAATATGGGAACGATTGACAAGATTAACTCACCATAAAGCTATTCAATGGACGAGGAATGATGTGTGGGCGTCTTCGTTTATGTGATCCGACAACTGCACTGTATGGGCAATGCTTTTGTTCGGCAGTAAGTGAATCAGCTCGAGCACTGGGCCATTTCGCGGGGATCGGATGAAATTCACCTAAATGATCTATCCATGCATCGAGTGATTGTTGACAAAGTCGCTCACATAAATCACAGGCTTGGAACTCGGCACCTTCATCAAGGCTGAACTCAACGGGCAGCAACGGATCGATTGGATTAGAGGAGTTGCGTCGCAAACATCGATTGTTACGCGTACTGGGACGTTGTCGTATCCGTTTTCCAGGTGAGTCTAACCGACCCTGATCATCGGACGGTAATGGTCGTGTAGGCCGTGTCTTACAGGGACTTGTCAGTGCAGTTACAGAGGCACGCTTTGGAGATGGTTTTGATTTGAGTGGCGAAGACGAGGCAGAACGACTAAACCACCATCGGCGAACTGAAGGGTTTAACAAACTGGAATTGGCGGACAGTTTGCGCAGAGGGCTTAGATGGGATACAATTGAGTCCGACAAGAGTGAACCTGTTCCAGATGAGAACAAGTAAGGATCGGTCGTGGCCATTGTGCCAACCGGGTTAGTTGCCCAAGTCTTTGATGGTTTGTGCACGAGTTGCAGTTCCTTTAGAGTCATGGGGCGAACAGACAGAGACGCACACATACACACGCACACGGCCGAGAGAGTTCACGTTCACGTGCGGCTCAATTGCATACGGAATGATGTGACGAGCAGTTTGGGAACGGGGCAACGATTGTGTGACGGAGACGTTGACGTTCGGGTGGTTTTATCGTCAGGTTTTTACAGTCGACCAATGGAACGTTTTCCGGGGCCACCACTCGTTAGGGTCTGCCCCAGGTTTGGGTTTTGGTCTGAACCTATGGTCGAGGCGCAGTTCGTGTGTGTGTGTGTGCACACTGTAAGGCCCGTGTGTGTCTTTCTCACGCTCCCCACTTCACAGTCAGGCGCACGCACATGTGAGCTTGCGTCTCGGACGTGCCGGACTTCTATCCACATGGGGTGAGACTTGAGGTTGGCTGGTCGGCCCACCTACCGGGAAAGGCTCTCCCAATCCCCGGGGCAGACATTCTGGTTGATGAGTTTTAAAGGGGTGCGTGGGGAGGGGAGGCCAACATATGTGGTCAACCAGGGCCCCTTTTGGTTCAAGGAGAATGATGAATGGTGGTGGTGGTGGTGTGATGGTGATGGGTCATCATGATGGTCTACGCTGAATAAACTAACACACACCTAGGGGTGTGCAATGCCCCGATAGGAAAAATCGATGAGCCACCGGTTGTAGGATTTCATCCGGAGCGCACGCGAGAGAGAGAGAGAGAGCGAAAGCTAAAGGATGAGGCGAGGAAACAACATTGGCCCGGTCACCATATTGGGAGAGGGGTTTTTCGATTGTCGTTCGGCTTGAATGCACCTACACACTACAGTCACCATGTGCGCATGATCTTTGCCATTCAGCTCACCTGCCAGGACTCTCGCCTCGGATCGAATGACTAAGCTCGGAGACTAGCGATTCGAGTAACGAGGGTAGAGTGACTGTGACTATCCCATCCACTCACAGCTCTGTTTCTTATGCCCTCGGTGTCCCTTCAGGCAAGACCGAGGAGTAGACTAACAGGATGTACGATTCCAGGTTTTGAATTCCTTAAATTAGGAATGGGTATCTGTTGGAGCAGTTCATCGATTTAATGTGCTCGAAGTCGATTAGGTTATTGTTTTAACCGCAAGATAAAGAAGTTTATACACACGATGAAAACAACAAACGGGGACAGGAAGATGGTTATGCTGGTTATGTGTAGGAAAGAATTTGCCTGACAGATGAACCGCATGCACATAGGGCGAACAATCATCAACCTTTTCACTCCGCTCGGATTCAAAATATTCGTTTGATGGGAGGACATAAGTAAAAAGCGAAATTTCAATGAAATATAAATAAATTATTTCGTCGTGTACAGGGAAAACCAAAAGCTGGGACACATTCTACAGTTGCTTCAACCGGATCCACCGAGTATTTGTTTATCACGAAACAAATACAAATGGCATACAGATGCCAGCAATGCCTAGTCTTTCCGCTGTTTTATACAACTACTTCAGGGATTTTTCTTCTCAATCTTAACTAATTGATTTGTGAACGTGAAGAAATCTCATTCCACGTTTTGGTGAAAGTACTTCCCAGTCCCAGTTCAATCAATGTATACTTCCGCCTAAAATAATTCCGGTCAAAAATATACATGACTAATGTAGGGAGTATGTGGTAAGAGGGAACCGAATTTCACAGGATAGCCAAACTTGTACCACAAAGGCATCGTCCACAAGTAACATACTATTACTTGGTTAGACAACTCACGGTAGTAGACTGTGAGTACTACAGGGGAACAGTAGTCGGAGTATTCAGAGAAAGAAAAAAACAGCTTGGACCCCATAGAATATAAAAGGATAAGTGACACAGTCAACTAACCAATACGTTCAGTCCTCCAAAGATTGCGTGGAAGAATTATACCTGGATAAGTCCATAATCATTGGAAAAGTCAAGGGCACATTTGAGAAGTTAATGGCTGACCTGAAACAGTCCGTGATCCAGTCATGGTATCTGCATGCACCTAGCATGATAGAGGTAAACTGTGAATAAATAAGGATTGGGAGTACTGTTCAATGGACAATTTCACAGTCGCCGAATGACCTGCTAGGATATGATTTCCTCTCCTGTCCCACCCCCGCTCGACTCTGATACACTCAGTCCTGTTGGAGAAAAGCTCTGGAGCCAATCAAGCGGATAACAATCAGGACAACTGAAAGATCTTCTCTCCACACGGTTTAAACAACTTCGTCGTGAAAAGAAGTGAGTCTCCAGAATGTCAGAACGTAGTTCATAGCATGCTGTCCTAAAACTCATTAAGAAGACGTTTCATGGGCTCAATTGCATGTGCACTCGATCTTGGCTTGACAAAAAAATCAGTTGTGAAACCTGGCAGGCCACAATACGGATTGATCCCATCAGTTCCCTTTACAACTCAGCTATATACATATATAACAATCCTTTATTTCGAATTAACTCTGTCAAATATCTTGGTGTAATTATAGATAGTAAACCTCAATGGTCACATCCACAATTGGATTGGTAAACTGCGTCGCCTATCATTTCAAATTCGAAAGCTCAGGCAGTTTCGCACATCCCAGTCAGTTATTTTTACCTTTGTTTATCAGTGTGTTTTCCCCAAGTTACTTCATGTCCCCCAGTTATTTTCCGTGGCTTATTCAACCAGGACTTCAAAATCCTACGCCGCAGTCTAACTATTATTAACCGCATTTCTTCTATTCATTTGAATGAGCCAGCTGTCAAGCTTTCAGTGTATCATATAACTTCCCATGTGAAATTAGCGGAGAGAGTCTTCACAGATCCTGACCATCCATTTCGCGCAGAACTGACATATTTCGTTCCCATCCCTCCACAGCCTCCCAATTCTGCCAAATTTCAACCGAAATTCACTTATATTCTATCTTGCACGTTTACTCACAAACAAAGTGAGTGTAATGGCTGAACTTTGTCTTAACCTTAGATTATGAAATGTCCCCATTTGTGCAAACGTTTTTCCTCGTTGAATATCTTCTTTTGTGACTATTGGCATGTATAGTTTTTTGTAAACTGAAATGTAAACTTCAGCACTTGCAAAATTATACACAGTACAATACAATACTGTGGATATAGAGAAACTTAATGAAAGTTTCCTAAATCCTGATGCTATGATCCCATTCATGCCAGCCAAGGTCGCGATATGAACGTGACCAAACTGGCAGTTCTCGTGGACATTCATCATACAGTGATTCAGCTAAATCCCAACACATATTTGTATTGATCAAGTATTCTTATTTTAATGTCATCCTCTCATATTAATTGTAACTACATGACTACGAATTGCTAAAAACAGTGGCTCGCCCGAAATTGCTTGAATACAGGAAGTCCTGATTAACTAATTAATTAATGCTGCTCAAAGTGGTTTCTCCCCGTGTTTGATATTGATTCCAATCACCTCAGTATCCAAGAAAAACCCTTCAAAATTTGGTTCCCTTGTCTGCACCTGAGTTGTGTCGAAGGTGTTTAAGAGGCTTGTGCTTAAAAATGCAGTATCGAGAACCTGTAGCCGTTTGCTTATGTCAATTCTCCACGGATATCGTATACCCATACGTCCGTTTCTCACCTTATTTTATCTTCATGTAATAAACGAAGCAACTCCGGCCACTCATTTTTCTTGGACTGCCCTGATACACTAAACACTATTTAGGGAAAAATATTGCTCAGTACACTCTCCTCTAACAGTGAGCTCCAAATGCAATACTGGTTGGAGCTTCTGGCTCTGCTATTGGCAGTCCAAATACTTGTTCGAGTTCTATTACATTCTGATACACAGGAGTCATACGATCGATCTCAAGCAGTAATTGTGATCGTTCACTTTTTCATGTGGTCCTATAGTTCTATAGTTCTTTTGTCTCTTAAATGTATCTGACCGATATGTCATCCATGCATAGTTGTATCCGTTATATCGGTGGGTCTTCAGCCGGAATCCGAATCCGATTACGAGAACCAATCCAATTACCACAGATACACTGCCAGACTAAAGCATTTCGCGATAACTGATATAACTGACTGCATTCTTCACGAGAAGCATCAGATTATAGTTTTGCATGCATCAGTGATGCATATTAACAAGCTTATTCAGGCTAGAATCCCGAACCCGCTATATTACAGGCATATGTGATTCTTTAGTGCAAACTAGCTCACNCATGGGCTGACCAGAATTCCCGAACCAAGGTTGTCCAGCTATCGTTTTCAGCGAGAGTCAATCGGTTCTGTTGTGCCAACTGTATATCTGATCTTTGCGTACGTGTGCTTTTGTCACCTCGATAAACAATTACCCTCAGATAGATAGAGAGAAGATTCTTCGTTGAACAACTATCGAAACGCGGAAATATATTGTTATTGTGGTGGTGGTGATGATACTACACGGCGTTGTGACATCATTGAGATCACAGCTTGGCTTGATAACATTGATGTCGTCATCTACGTACAGCCTCAATACATCCCTGTTCTATTGGTCAAGCTGAAAATCTTGTGAAAATAGGCAAGAGTGCACTGGCATCCGCGAATCCGAAATCAGTTACGGACTTGGAAGTGTTTCCGGATAACTTCCTACTGCAATACCGAAACGTGACACATACGACTA